CACAGTTTTCTCGCCCTTCTTAATTTCGCCGTTCTCCACGGCGTGAACCATGTCATCTTCCGTGTCAAAGACGCGTGCCTTGCCAGTGAAGCGGAGACCTTCCTTGCCGGTGATCTTGGCCACGGCACCACCCGGGGCCAGGTTGCCGTACAGCACACGAATATGACCCGTAGGCTTGATTGGGTTGTTAATCGGACGAAGCAGGTCCTGGTTCTCAGGAAGCTTGCCATTCTTCTGCACCCAGCGTTCACAGTTTTCACGCAGGGTGAGGCCTGTAACCGTCATATGGTCACCCTTCATCATACCCTGCTCAATAAGGTAATGGATCACGGTGGGAATGCCGCCGCACAACTTGTGAACATCTTCCATCACGTACTTGCCGCTCGGCTTGAGATCCGCCAGGAACGGCGTCGAGTCACTGATGCGCTGGAAATCATCCAGTGTCACCTGGACACCCACACTGTGTGCCATGGCGATCAGGTGCAACACAGCGTTGGTAGAGCCACCGAGCACCATTGTGAGAACCATGGCATCCTCGAATGCACTCTTCGTCATGATGTCACGAGGACGGATGTCCTTTTCAAGCAGGTTGCGCATAGCCGGGCCGATATCCTCGCACTCCTTGATCTTCTCATCGTATTGAGCCGGGTAAGAGCTGCTTCCCGGAAGCGTCATACCCAACGCTTCCGCACAAGATGCCATCGTGTTCGCCGTGTACATGCCACCACAGGCGCCCGGACCAGGGCAGGCATTCCTGACCGTGTCATAACGACGCTTCTCCGCATCGGCAGAACCGCCAGCAGCCAGGTACTGGCCGTAGCTCTGGAAAGCGCTCACAATGTCGAGTGTGCCGTCAATCGAAGCGCAACCACCGGGACGGATTGTACCACCATACACCATGATACCGGGGCGGTTCAGGCGACCCAAAGCCATCAGCACACCCGGCATATTTTTGTCACAGCCTGGGACGACCACACATCCATCTAGCCAATGGCCACCCATACAGCTTTCGACACTGTCCGCAATCAAATCACGGCTCGGGAGCGAGTAGGACATGGCACTAGTGCCCATGCTGATGCCGTCTGAGACACCCACAGTACCAAACTGGTATGCAGTCAAACCGGCTTCGTCAACCGACTTCTTAATCCGACGGCCAACTTCAAGCAGGTGCGCGTTGCAAGGGTTACCTTCATACCACACGCTCGCCACACCAACCATAGCACGTTTCAGGTCATCATCATTCTTTATACCGTCGGTGGCATACAGCATGGCCTGACTCGCGCCTTGGTCCTTCGGCTGCGTAATCAACCTGGAATAGTGGTTCAAATTCCCGGGACCAGGGCGATTCTCCGTTGCACATGCACACGAAGTTGCAATTCCACGGGCGCAGCCACCAGAAGTCATCGTTCGAGCCAACTTAGCAGCAGGCTGCCCTGCGAGCATACGCATACTGTAGATAGGAAAAAGGAGCCAATGCCCTCCGGGGTATTGGTGACTACGGCCGAGCTTTCCGAGTCATAATTTATGTGGAGGAAGGCACCCTTGTATCGGCCTGAACGTCGCATGCACGGCCAATGTGCATGCCAACACGCACCAAGGTCTCTATGCAAGAGTCACTTGTGTGCAAAAGGTCTTGATCAATTTGTAGACGGTCCTTCTCAGCGAGTAGCACAAGCGTAGAACCGCCAAACTTGAAATATCCGAGCTCCTCGCCGCGACACACCCTCTGAGAAGGCTGGACGGACAAACGAATCGAGCCTACCATCATCGCTCCAATGGCGATAATGTAGAGATTCCCGAACTCTTGCGTATGAATAGGAATTATCACGCGCTTGTTCTCCCCGAATACATCAATAGTACTGCGAATCCCCATGGGGTTGACCGTGTAATATTCTCCGTCAACCCAATCTGGTTCACCAATGATGCCATCAACAGGTACATGGAACCGGTGGTAGTCTTGAGGAGCCAATCGGAAGATAACAACGGAAAATGGTGGCACTGTCTCCTGGCCATATCGTCGACCAAGAAGTTTTTGCACCGAAAACTGGCGCCCCTTGATCCATAATTGCGTTGCAAGCTCAACAGAGGGGAAAGCCATTAAACGACAGTCAGCACAGCTCACGAGTGTGCAAGGGTCACCGGGATCATCCACCGGACGCAGTTCCATTTTGATTTTGCGACAAAAGAATTCATTAAACGTAGTGAATGCGTCCACAGGAACAAGCATTTCGTCAGTGTTGATTCCGTGGAATGTAATAAATGGAAGAATGAATTTTGTACTGCTAGGAGCATCGAACTTTCTCCCCTGTTTGATAGACATATTATACAACATACGTCGCACGCGTGCCCCCGACATTTGACCATAAGCGCCCTGGTAAAGTAGCCTGATCCCAAGACGGACGTAAACCTGCATTTTCTCTTCCAATAGTTCACCTGAATCGCGTTTTTGAACAAGAATATTGGCACTGTTCGCACCAACACTGTAATTTCCTTGACCAATCTTTTGGATTACGTTGGTATACCATTTCCGATGAGCTTGACTAGCAGTCACAAAGCGAGACATGGCGATCTCATCGACTCGGTGCCAGTCGCTCGAGGCACACAGGGCTAAGTGTGTGAGAATGTCCATCTCGTCAACCTGGCCAAGGTTTGGCATATTACAAAGGGGACATGAGCGCAAACGCACGATGCGCTCCACCGGAATCTCTTCTTCTCCATCAGAGTCGCTGTCACTGGCTGTGACATGTACTTGCTTGCGACGAGCCGACACAGGCCTCTTCAACAGTTCTTCCAGCACAAGTACACCTTCTTCAAAGGTTAATTCATCGGTCTCCGAATTCTTGCCGTGCCGAGTGTACAATTCATTAATCGTTTCCCGGGTAAGTGTGCTGCCAAGACTGCTAAGCATTGTAGAGAATTCGACGATATCCACACCATTCGTATCATTGGTATCGTAAGATTGTAACAGCTCGCGCCAAAATCGTTGGCGAAGTGCTTCATAGGGTCGGTAACAGAAACGAATCGTCAACACAGGTGTTTTTCCAGTCCCGTACTTTTGCTCCTCGTCACCCAATTCACGACTGAGAGGCAATTCCAGGGTATGCATTGTTGATAAGGTGGCAACGTCTGAATCGAAGAGTCCTGTCGTTGGGTCTGGTGCGGGAACGGCACACATAAGGTTCGAGACAGGGAGGGTTGCTTCACCAACGTAGTCATTTGCCGACATTTTATCCCAGTCGTACACGAAAAATTTGACGTTAAATCCTTTCTCGTTGCTGCGAACATGAAACAGTAGCTTTTCTTTCCATTTAGGATTCAATGTATGCCGACATACGCGTGTCCGAAAAATTTTACGATTAAACGAGACGATTGCAAACGGATCCATATCGAAAGACGTCTTCGTCACATTCCTCCAACGAGGCAAGTCGCGAGCTCCTTCTACTTCGATCATCATGATGCCAAGTATATCTTGTCCAAGAGCGGCCTTGAATGAAAAATCTCCAGAGCGTTCTAGCTTTCGGGCACGCGGTCGTCTTAATTTTTTGCGGGTGCGGCGCTCGAGCTCTTCTTGTCCTCCGTTTAGTGACGCATTTTTTAGTGAAGGGAGAGAACGAAGTCGAAATTTACGAAGTTGCCAATAACGCCGAGGAGCGTCGCTATCATCTGCATCACTTTGACCTAGGTCATTGGTTATTGATGCGCCTCGACGATGAGCACGTCTCCAGTTAGATCGACTCGGAATAGCCAACAGCTTGCGACGCATGCCCACCGGGTTTGACCTGTTATCCTGATCGATAGCAACTGCGGAGTCAAATTTTTCTTCCAACTCCGACAAGGAACTTTCCGAACAAGAGTCAGAAGCAGCCGTCAGATTCACTTCTTCTATCCGATCATAGACTTCAGGACCCAGCGCTGTTTCTGAGTCATATTCCGATTCACTGTTTGTGAGTCCGTCATCACGTAAATCTTCGTGATCTTCACTCATGCCAACTGCTTGAGTAGCTGGGATATTGCGAAGAGACATTATTTCATCATCATCGGCAGCCTTGCAGACCGCGCAGTACACCTCGTTTAGGAATAATTTGTAGTTGAGACACTTTACTGTGCCAGGTAGGAACCCTAGTCGGAGCTGTAATGCTGCGTGGTTGGATTCTGGTTCTAAAACTTGCCATTTTGGAACAGCATTGTCCCAACTTATATCTCCCGTCTTGGAGCATACCCATTCTGAGACAGGGATGCTAATCTCTGCCAGATAGGATGTTTGTTGCGGTGAGTTGATGTTCGGCACGGACCATAATACAAGCTCTAATGATCCTGGTGCCGCATGTACTGGCAGAGCCAGTTTGACTGGATTTTCATCTCTCTCATTAGAATCACGTTGAAATCGCCGCCGGAGCAAAATAGGACGGGGTCGATGCTTGCGCATGACGTTGACACCAGCAACTGCACTACTGCGCAAATAGCGCGATGCTTTGTGTGGGAAGAATTTGGCACGGTTTGCTCGAGCGTTCTTGTCTTGAGATGCTTTGTATGAACCGTTTGTTCCATCTAGCTCCGCCACAAGGCTTGAGGAGTCAATCGAGGATATCCAGGAACGAGTGATAGGGAAATCGAAAGTAGAGCTTCCCGGTTTCCACTGTAAATCATTATTAGGAATGACAGGTGTTCTGAAAGAAAAGTTCTGTAGCCCTGGGATTCGAACAGTAGCAAATATATGTTCATCGGCAGCTAGGTTGGACACTTGTGCCATCAATACTTGTGCGCGAAATACTCCCAGAATATCTTGCTCTGGACTCATGTACCTCGGCGCTTCGCTCCACGACATGTTTCCCGTAAGTTTTTAATCCTGTACCAAGTAACCTTCACTCTTCCCACAGGTCTACCCTTGGCCTGCGTAACATAAGAGTGGAAATAGAGCTAAATGAAACTAGCATGTGTCGGCCCGTCCATGCGATGCATGAACTGGTATATACGATAAATGAAAGCTCAAGTAATGAATTGTTCCGGTAGCTCAGGGGTAGAGCGGCAGATTGCAAATTGATCATCTGCAGGTCGTGCGTTCGAATCGCGCCCGGAACTAAAACTGCTCGATCTAGTTTTTTTTTTCGAGAAATTTGGAAAAGCGATGTAAACTCAACTCAACCATTGTTCTTTAGGATTGCGCACTGATCTTCATTGCTAGCATACCTCTTTTAAACCTATTATTCTATTGAAACTTCCTGTACAGTTGAGATACGCTGAAGAGCACAAGGTATCATAGTTTTACAAGTTAAAGTCACGCTTATGCTGTTCCGGGAACGGGTTTTCTTGTCTTGCCTTTTCAATAGAAGGGATCAACCCTTTCTCTTCCACAGCTCGCTTATTTATGGTCAATGATGTCCTTAGAAAACAATAAAGTACATACCTTCACACACGTTTGGTACTCAACGAATAATTTTCCACAGTCGTGTTCGTACCGTTCGCGTAATAATGATAACTGTTGCATCATTCGACTGCTTCCTGAAGAAAGTCGAGGAAACCCACTCGTCCATGACCCTTTTGATGGATTGCTCTGTATTTCAGTGGTATCCGATGATGCTTCCAGGTAATCTTTAAACCAAGCGTTGAAACATCGATCATACTTATGCTTGAGAGGGGTACATTGAGGTGAGATGGATTCCATCAAGCCTAGCGATGTGTTGCCATCGGTATTCTGAACCTCAGATGCAGTGCTGGAAGACATGTCCACCGGGGCGAATGACGGCAGCAATCACTACGGTTAACTGTGCGGGCAGCGTTTCATAATTGCGTAATCAATCTTGCCCGATCAAGCGACAGATCGCCTCCTCGAGCTTTTGGTCATGTAAGAGACCACCGTTAAACCACACGTATTGTACCACTACTATCGTATAAACATGCTATATAGCCCTAGGGAAGCTTTGGGCACTCTGAGCGATGTCTGATGGTCAGCAATAAGCCCATGAAATTTGTGGCACATGGCAGGTGTTCCCATCATCTAGGAGCAAAAGACTTTGAGATGGTATGGTTGTTCGCATCGGAAGTACCCTAGACTTGAACTATGCAAAATAAGTTCTAATCATTCGGGAGACCTGCCATGCTACCACCCAGGGTCACATACCGATCAAGTGTGGTGATACGGAGTTCGGATTAGAATCCGACGGATCTTCTTCTCTTGACCCATATTCCACGTGGGATGAAGAACTAATTTTTGGCCCGGTCTTCTCAGCCCGACCAAGTTGGAAATTCGGCGCTGTTGATTTGCTACCAAAATCGCAGTGTAAGAATATTATGATTAGGTCATAGACTATTGGCGGGAAAGCGGAAAATGCCGGACAGGAACCCGTAGGCTACATAATGGAGTAGTTCTTCCGGAGTGTACTTTCCTAACTCACTACATTTTGCATAATGGGTTTCGAGGAAGGTGACGCCAAGAAGGGTGCTGGTCTGTTCAAGACCCGCTGCGCTCAGTGCCACACCATTGAGGAGGGTGGTCCTCACAAGGGTACGTTGGTTGCACTCTACGTCGAACACATACTAACAAAATTCAGTTGGCCCCAACCTGCACGGTGTCGTTGGCCGTCAGTCTGGTAAGGCTGCTGGCTACAACTACTCTGAGGCCAACATCAAGAAGGACGTTCTGTGGAACGAGCAGCACCTCTGGGAGTACCTTGAGAACCCTAAGAAGGTACGTACTACGATTTTGTGTATTAGATTGCTAACCGTTCAGTACATTCCTGGGTATGTATAAATCCGCCACTGTGATGGTGGCTGTTCGTGGACTTGATACTGACCATGCTCCTCTTTGCTCTATTGCATCGGATTTTACTCTGCAGCACGAAGATGGGTAAGTAAGAGCTAAGGCAATGTGTTCTAACACTACAGCCTTCGCCGGTCTCAAGAAGCCTAAGGACCGTGACAACCTTGTCACCTACATGAGGGACGCCAGCAAGTAAACGCAATGCGTTCGGTTCTAGAGTGCGAGTCGCAGAATCTTGTTATAGATGTTCCTCTGTAGACCGACGGCAACTCGACTGAATTCGTAAAGACTTACTTGTGGTCGACCTTTGCACTATAGACTTTATGGTGCAAATCTTGTCCGCTATATGGTCTTTCCAGTGGAGAACGAGACGATCCGTTTGGAGGCCCCAGACATTGGTCGCGGCGCATCGGGGCCTGGGGCGCATGCTCAGGTTTCACGGGCTAGTCATGATGAGTAATTCTCGGTTCCGTCTGATCGACCTCTTCACATCGCGAATCGGGTATCTGTCGTCACCTGTTGGACAGAGACTCGTGCGAGCTGCTGCATCTTCCTGTACAAAGGCTGTTTGGACGCGGTTGTTCCAGTACAGATCTGGCTGTATTGAACAATACAGGTATAGAGAAGCGGCTTTTCCTTAGGGTTCAATCTTTGAGCCTGTGCTTTTTAAGGCTCCTAGGTAATGGCCAAACCGAATTCAACAGCATCAAATCTGCCTGAATCCGATACAGTAAAGCTACCTCCGCTTCGATCACTTGAACCGATGGCAAATCCTGCTGATACCACGCCTCACCGCGACCAGAGCGCAACGTATTCGGCCACCGCTGCCGTTTCCGACGAGCGCACGGCCTCTGCTCCAGATAAGCAGGGCGTTGATTCTCCGGCGCGCACTGCTTTTCGACAGAGCCAGCCGCCCGCAACGAACCCATCGACACAAACGGGATATGGGTCGCCGTCGCCGCCACCTCCTGCACCTGCGGCGTTGTCATCTTTGGCAGGCCAACCTGTACCTTACGAACCTCATGCAGATCAGCGTGTGAACCGCTCGAATGAAGCCGCGCACCCTTCACACACGGCATACAACGCTGCGCGCAGTGCGGCAACTGTGCCTGCTACGCCTGCACCTCCCGGGATCACCGCGTGGTCCTCGGGGATCCACGGCTCTTTGGAGCCAAATACGGTGTATTCGCTCGAACGCATCCACGCCGCCAGTCTTGCTTTGTATAATTATGCTAGCGAGCATCTCGAGCGGCAAATTCCGACGGCGACCGAGGAGTTATATGGATTGCTTCCCATTGTTTCGGAAGTCAACCAAGAGCTGCGTTCCCTGCTTGCGGTGCACGAAGGTCGACCCCCTCGCGACTCGGCGGAGATGGCTCCGTACTATCCTTGGGCCTCGGGGAATGGTGCGGGTGCACCCTACTGGATACCAGGCGGCCGTGACGAGCGCGAGGGCAAGATTATGCGCACCGATGATGGTGAAATTGACGACAAGACAGGCCATCTGCGTCGTCGCAGCCCAGGACAAAACAAGACAGAGCGCATGGCACCGCGTGGGATGCGTGTCGTGGCCGGAAATGACGACCTTGGCTCGTATGCCCCGGGTATTCCAGGCCAGCCAATCCGAACAGAACCCGTTTACCTTCACCAGCCTACGTATCCCTCGCATAATATTGGAAAAGCTACCTCGAGCGAGTCTGCGAACACGGGGCAGTACGTCCCGAAGTACCGTAAGCGCAGCCGCGCTCCGGCGCCCGGCGTTTGTCATGCATGTGGCAACAGCGACACGCCGGAATGGCGGCGTGGTCCAGATGGAGCTCGCACCCTCTGCAATGCGTGTGGTCTGCACTTCTCCAAGCTGGTTCGCCGAAGAACACTCGAGTATGCCAATGCAGCCCCTGGTACGCCTATTCCCCCAGTAACCACGGCCGAGCTCCGCGCCTCCACGGCGGTCGGAAGCCACTCGAACGTGAATGTCACAGCTGCCACGGATGATCCTACTGGCGGGCTTCGGGGACGCTCTTCGTCCATGTACAGCAACCCGGCTGCTGCTGCCCCGTCACGTTCCCTGCCAGTGGACCCTGTGGTGGATGTCAACAGCGCCTCGGCCGGCGTTCCTCCTGCCCCGCATCCTCCGCCCCTCGCCGACCTGGAGCGCGCGCATGAGGAAGTGAAGCGAGATGAATCTACGGATGGGTCCAGCAAAAGAACCGCCCCCGACATGGACCTGTCCCAGTCGAGTAAGCAGCCACGGACCGGCTGATAAACGTTGAATAGCCTCCTGTATTTTGTTACATGAACAATCCCTGGGAGAGATGTTTAGCAACTCGTACGCGAGAGGGGCGTTCCAAATGGATTTTTGGGCGCAGCGCGCTCGGCTACGTAAACGATACATGGCTCATATGACAAAAGTGCAGTGACCCAAAGAGAAGGCAGACCATATGCAATACCAGCACTTGCGCATAGAGCCAATACAAGCGCTTAACGGTAGCGGCGGAGATGCAGCGCCTGGGTCCTGCGGTACTCCGCGGCCCGGCTGCCACCGGTGGTCTGGTGGAAGCCGTGGCCCTTGCCGATACCCCGCGACTTCTTGCCGGCGGCGGTGAGACCGCGCATCTCACGGTGCTTGTGAACAGGCTCGGCAATCCAGTTGATGCGAGCGTCACGGCGGATCGCCTTGTGCTGAGGGTCCACACAGATCACCTCGAAGTACTTGTACACACCGTCCTGGTTCACCCAGTACGAGTTGAGCACGCGGAGGTTAGTCGCCTTACGGCCGACACGCTCCTCGGCAAGCACACGCAGAGAGCGCGCGGGCTTGAGGTGGTTCACACCCTGGCGGACGGGCTTGCCGTAGGTCGCACCCTTAGGAGCCTTCTTCTTGCGGTTGCCGCGGCGGACACGCACACGGTACATGACGTAGCCCTGCTTGGCCCTGTAGCCCAGGCGGCGGGCCTTGTCAGGGCGCGACGGGCGCGAGATGCGCGAGACCACGTTCATCTGGCGGTACTCCCAGCACCGAACGCGAAGCAGGAAACGGAGCACATCGCTCTGCTTCTTCTTGTAGAGCTCCTCAAGGTACTTGTAGGCACCCATCTGTATAACGTGTTAGTATCTGCTCTGTGCAAGTGTATGCCGTTGGTATCCTGAGGCCAGGACCACGGGTGACGGCGAGCGATGCGTACCTTGCTTGAAGAGTAGGGATGGTAAAGAAGCAAGCTCGCGGCGGCGTGCGACCAGGGCTCGCTGCCTGGCTGGCAAATTTGGAAGACCTAACAGGGCTTCGAACTTGCCCGCGGCAAGGAATCACGTGGAGAAATAC